CTTAGAGTAACTTTGGTACTCTGCAACTAGAATGCTACAGCGTATCAAAATAATAACTTTCAGAACATACCTGACATTGCAATTACAGTTCGGGAACTAAACAAGTTATGTGAAGCCCTGACTCCAGCTCCCAATCACTAGATCCCATCAACAGATACCACAATTTCTTTCTACCGTAAAGGTATGGTTTATTCTTTGGTGATCCTGTTGTTGCCCTCAGCAAACCATGGGTTCCACTGTAACCATGCGTCATCAGAATTTGACATTTATTGCCCATTGTTAGCAAATACGCATCACAATGGTATTGTTGTGATACAGTCCACTAACGCCATCTCCATGGCTACCGAGTCAGTGGTGTTAGGAGTCGTCTTTTTCTTTTGTTGAAGCGAGCGAATGCTGGTTACAGAAGATCGCCTCGAGATATTTTATGTATTTTTTTCTCAATTTATTTGAACTTAGTTCGACTCTTTCATCTTTATAATATAGTGTTAGACTTCTTTTATAGGTGCCGTTGCTCGATAACCAGTATTGGTTTCTCGCGTCTCCTTCACCCTGAAATATGGCCTATTTATAATTTAATTTATTGCAATTTGTATGTTTGTGCCTATTTTGGGTATGGTGAGGAATAAACTACTGATTACTGATTGAACTTCACTAAATTCTGACTGACATTATTAATTTTGAACAGTCATACAACCAAAGAATAACTAAATTGCTGTGCTGCAATGCCGGGCAGCGTATCAGGTTTTGCGTATCACACGGAAGTATTTTGAAACCACAAGTAAGAAATTAGTGGGTGAAATATTTTAGGGTGATACAGTCATTAAAGTCATAGTCCGCTAGCGCCGCCAGGAATGGTAATAAAGCAAATAGGGAAGTTTCAGCGTATGTATTATATCAACCAACAAGTATGAAGTTCGTAAAAAATCTACTGTCTGCCTCATACCGTGTTTCCCCGAAAATAAGCCCTAGCCTGAATTTTAAAAATGATTTGTCATTTGATATGTTATTTATAAACATCAGTTTCCATATTTTGTATTATTTTTTGTCTTTACTTTGTAATATTGTTTTGGATAAATGAAAATAAAAAACATCCTCCCAAAATAAGCCCTAGTGTTATTTTTCGAAAGAAAAGTGAAATAAGATTTTGTCTTATTTCCGGGGAAACACGGTAGGTTAGATAATCCTGGTGGTGGAATTCAAAATGTTCGTGCGGATTCTTGACCCGTGAAATAAATTTAATTTTCGTAATCCTATTATTAGTGAGTTCGATACAAAAGACAAACCTTTCTTTAAATTTTGAACTCCAACACAGAATATTCCCTAACTAAACCTCATTCATTCCACCAGTCACGCAAGCTTCATAAAATTACTAGATATAATATATATTTATTGTGCAAAAATTCAGCTCAGAATATTTTTTCTTTCGTCGCGAGGCTTTTGATGTCGTGACTTTTGGTGCAGTCGCTCGATAAACCAGAATCGGTGTTCTGCGTCTCATTTCATCCTGACGTGCGATTTATTTTTATTTCTTAAATTTGTGTATGAATAGTTCGTATTTTCAGTATGGTAAAGAAATAAATTACTGATTTGAATTATTTGACAATCTACTAATTCATCCAGTTTATAGAGGCCCAGACCGATAAAACCTTAGACTTTGAGGCCAGGTTCAATTTTAATCGGAGTAACCGTATATTACGGACTATAAGGCGCACTGTAAATAAATTGCTTAGATTGTTTTTTTCATACATACGGCGCTTCAGGCTATAAATCTCAACAGTTTTTTAATCTTTACCATTACCAGTTATGAGTTTGGGCAAACATGCACAAAGCACTATAAAGGCAGTCGGTCTATAAAGCGAACGGTCGATTTTTGTGAAATAAAGGGATTCAAATACGCTAAATGGTCCGTAAAATACGTTGAATGTTGATAATTCAATGAAAAACAACTGATAAAGAACAAGTGTTAATTAATCATTTCAAGATTACGAATTTTAGCCGAGGAAACTCAAACAAAACGCCAAAATTAGCTAAACAAGATTCAAAGTATTTTTCATTCATGCCAATGTCTTTGGATTCTTGATAAGGCCTCTCAGATGCCCGCAATAAGCTAAAATCCCTGGAGCATGATTGGGGGGTGGGAAAAAGCATTTCTTGAAAAAGTATTAATTTTTCCAAACGTACCTATGTATTTTGTTTCTCAATATCCTTATTCCGAGTTGCGCGAAATTCCAAACTCACTGGAGCGTTACAGGGAGGGGGAAATCCCAAATTTCTGGTGGTGAAATATTCGATTAATTACTCCCTTCAAAATTTAGGCGTCGCATTTCCCGGAGTCCTATTCCAAGTGCTCATAATTGACCAAAATCAATAATACCAAAGTGGGCATGGATTCCACATTATTTCTTACCACTGAGAAGCGGAACCATTGCGCCTACCCCCAATTAAATATACTTGGAAAAATTCCCAATACTCGGGCAAACGCTTTCTGGCCCCGGAAACGGAGCAAAACGGCCTCTAAACCCCAAACTCACTTGTCGATGGAAAAAAAGGAAAGCAAGATGAGATCAATTGTTCATACCTTGTTTTCCCAAAAATAAGGCCCAAAAGTAAGACCTAACCTGGATCTCAATGTAAGCCCTTCCCTTGGAATAGGACCTATTTTAAGTCGGTAACGCAATTTTTTTTTTTTTGATCTATTCGATAACAGAATATCTACACATTTCAAATGAGTAATAATTCTAAATTTAGCAGTTATTTCAAATAAGGACGTGTTATTTATGAGTAAGTACATTTAAAAATCTCGTAAGTCTCTACGTTGTATTTTGTTTTTTGATAAATGAAAATGAAAGACATTCCCCTAAAATAACCCCTAGTGGTCATTTGGGGAAACACGATAGGCATCTTGATTTGCTTCTGCAAATGGTTGAAGTGAATGGTTGAAAAAAGTGAAATGGTTGCTCTCGACCAAATAACTGGTGAACTGCGTAAATTACGATCAGATCTTGTACAAAAGGCAGAGTTCAGCGCATATAAAAACTACAACTAATTTTAGGCAGCTTTATTAGAAGTTCCCGAGTATCGCAATCTTTCACAAAAAGCATTCACCATTCTCGTCCGAATACCTACAGCCCTACGACATACCTGTCCGAACAAGGGTTGACTGCACTCATATAAGTTAAATCCAAAAAAGAGCAAATTGCCGATGGAATCCAATAGCAACGGTCACATTAACATAATATTAAACTATTGAGTTAACATAAACATATATAACTTCTTAATACTGAATTTTTTACGTATTAAAAAATGTAGGACGGGCGGGGTGTACCAGATTTTAAGTACTGGTTGGAAGCGTGTGCCATTACAAAAAAAGGTTGAGGAGCACTGCTCTAATGTGACTTGACTAAACTAAAAGCTCCGTTTTGGCCCGAGCCTGTATCACACGAGGCATAAATTAATGGACATTCGTGAAAAAACATTTATTGACATGAATGAATTGCATGTGATGAAAACTTCTGATCGCTTGCTGAAATGTTGTGTATCAGAAAATGGTAAAAATTAAATAAAAACGTGATTTGATAAACTCCCTTAGGTATTTTTGTATTGAGCTGTGGGTAAGAGTTTGCATGACTTCAACATAATTTTGAGGCCGATCCTTCAAATTTGAGGACTTCTTTTAGTTCCATTTAGCCATCAGAACAAGTGAGTTGAGAAAATTTCATTCATAGTTTTCTTCTTGTTTCAAGTTTTGGGACAGACCCATTCCTGTGAATTCAGCAATAACCACCAACTATACATTCAATAGTGTTTGAAAGCACATACTAATGCTAATTTATATGAGTCAATATAACAAAAGTACTGGTTATAGAATCGGAAAGACCCTCATGAATATTAAATCTAGAATATCTGATCTGAGACAAAAGATTGCCTGCTATGCGTTATTTCATTGGAGAATATGTTACAAGGTCCGGCACATACATCGAGTATATCTCGACCTCGGTTCGTTAGGTTACTGTAATTTCTAATCATGCAACGATGTTATTTGGAGATATTGATATGTATTTAAACCACTGCAGCATTTTCTGAATGCACCGCTCAATAGAACTAGCACGCGGTTTAAAATAGGTGCATAGAACGCTAAAATTGCCTTTAGACTAATGCAAAATCACGCCGACGAATTCTCACTACTACGTCATCAACGGGACATACTAATTTGCGTTCGATTTTGGCAGGGTTGACTTTTAAAAATTCAAGTGTTTCAAACGAAGTCCACTTTATGCAAGCGGTAAATGCCAAAAATCCTAAAAAATCATATAGAAATTTGCTACAAAAATGTTTGCGTGATAACCACCTTTAAAGGGAAGTTTAGCAGTCTCGATTTGTATTTCTGCTTTTGAGCGACTCGTTATTTTCTAGTATGTTAATAGGGTGCTTGTATTATTCAAAGCATTGTAAAGCCAGTGTGACAGTTTACACAACAGACTTTCAATTTGTCGAGCTTGTGTAAAAGAACGTCGCATATTGTTGATAATAAATTTGTTTGTGTATTTTGTTTGTTGGGTTGGCCGTTACTGTCGTTAATCCAGTTTTGATATATTTTAGATACGTTAATTCTCATTTGTATTTATTTAAAAAAATTACTGTTTGTTTTCATGTGCGGGGTAGACCAGGGTTACTGGCGAAAGTCCTGTAATAATTGAAGAGCCTCGAGTCAAAGTTGACCGTGTATGTGTTTGAGGTTGTTTAGGTGTTATATTGAATGTCGCGTCGTCCTAAGTTTGATTTTGCTTATTCATATTAGCATATAGTAGTCAACCAGTAGTGTACTAAAAGCATATTAAAAGGTAGTCGAATTGTCTGGCGCAGAAGACTTGAAGACACGCAAACACACGCAAACGCATATATTAGCATAGTATATACCGGTACTTTAACTATTGAATCGATTGCATTTTTTTCTACAGCAAAGTAGATTCTTCTTTTTATATTTAGTATTTAGCTATTGCCATGGAGAAAGAAAACCCGGGGAACGACGAAAAGAGTGAGCAGGTCGAAGAACAAGCTCAATATCAAATAACTAAAGACAAAGGTAAGTGCATGCCTACTTAAAACTACATAGCAAAAATCGCACATCATGTTAATTATTTTGTTCTGCATTAATCAAGAAATGGGTAAATGCGTCACAATAGCAACAACAATTTTTTTTACTGAATGAAATACTATTAACGGTAATTTTATTTATTTTAATTTTTATGAACTACGCCATGTCTTTTCTTTTAACACGACTCGGATCGACGCTTACAAGCAATGCTAATATTGTGTATCTAATGTACAACCACGCACTGTTTGAAAACAATAGTAAACCATTCGCGAGGAGTTGGGTGTGAAGCTAGGTCCCAAGATAATTGACTCGTATACAAACAGAGTTAGTACAACTGAAATGTGAATATTTGAAGATTTGGTTTATTTATAGATGATAAAGATTTTGGTAAAGAAGCATCAAACATAAAATTAAAAACTGAAGATGGAGTTCAGCAGACTGAAACAGTGACAGGTAGCTATGATTCTTTTTAAACGCATGTTTAACTTGTTGCTCAACTTGTTTTGAGTGGGGATTTGAATTGAATTAATTCTCAAACTGGGGTCGATAGTTTTTGTAAAATCGGGGTCTCGATTTAGAGTCGCTTTGTTTAATACCCTGAACCTCAAGTCATTTTAATGAAATTCGATTCTCGAGTCGTTTGTCTAACCGGAGTTAGAGTCAATTTATTTGCTGGAACAGGATGACGCGTTGCAGACGATCAGTTTGTCTAACCGGAATTGGAGTCAATTTATTTGCTCGAACAGGATGACGAGTTGCAGACGATCAGTTTGTCTAACCGGAATTGGAGTCAATTTATTTGCTGGAACAGGATGACGAGTAGCAGTCGATCTGTTTGCCTAACCGGAGTTGGATTCAATTTATTTGCTGGAACAGAATGACGAGTTGCAGTCGATCTGTTTGTCTAACCGGAGTTGGAGTCAATTTATTTGCTGGAACAAGATGACGAGTAGCAGTCGATCTGTTTGTCTAACCGGAGTTGGAGTCAATTTATTTGCTGGAACAGGATGACGAGTAGAAGTCGATCAATTATTTTTATATACATGCTGTTTGTAGTCGAACTCGATTAGTTTGAATCTGGTTGGGTGGTAGTCGAATTGATTTTTCTAATCAAGAATCACAAACCGAAATTTGTAGAATTCTAAAATTGGAATTGATATTAATATAACTTGCAGACATTAAAGTTTTATGATCTGAGTTTTTCCTCATCGATTTTCGTATCAGGGAGATGGGAGTCCATTCATCCTATTTTCTCTACGACACCAAAGTCTAAATTTTTAATCCTATGAAACAGAGCACATTTACCTTTCAATCAACATCCAAGCCAGAAATATTTTGGAATCGAAGGTTAGGTCGTGTTCCACAAGCCGATATCTTATACCTGACAAAAAAATAATATTGGTGTTTGCCATCATTTTTTCAACTTTAAACTTAAACTATTTTTACAGTTCAAGAAGAAAACAGCGTCTTCAAAGCAATGGCTCTTCCATGCTACCTAGGTGAACACAGTACTTTTGTAGTTTTCGTATTCCGATCATTTACTCTTTGCTGTTGTATTTAGTGAAATCGAGCCCAATTATATATGATTTTAGATTTTATACCAGGCATCTCTTCTTCATACAATCAGAAAAAAATGAGAAAAAATAGCTTAATATACGTTCTGAACACTATGTCTATGTTTTACTATAACGATGAAAAGATTCTGCTTCAAAAACGTGTATAAGTGTTATCAAGTTAATCATCAAAGTTTTTGTTTCTAACTAAAGCTTACCAAACTTACCGATTGATTTGAATGACATATATGAAATTGAATATTAATGCCTTTATTGAATGCCTTACGTAGAAAAGCACCTAGCTTTAAAACGCAAATAGAATGCTTGTTAAATTTCACAATTAAAATTAGCAAAAATATCTATAATATTCAATTCAAGAGTCCTGCTGCACACTAACACAAATATATTTCTGTAACGTTTCGTCTGACCAAAATCAGACTTCCTCAGACAAGAAGTTTACAACAAAATTGTTGTTACATTGTTGTAAACTGCTTGCCTGAGAAAGTCTGATTTTGGTCAGACGAAACGTTACAGAAATATATTTGTGTTAGTGTGCAGCAGGACTCTTGAATTGCATATTATGGTATTTTATTCCTGCTACAGCATCCTTGCATTACATGCATACGGATCCACTAGCGCAAAGGCATAAAGAAAGGATTGGGACTTAGTCTCGCGCAACCTCTACTGATCGAAAAATATCTATACTTCAAAAAGGGTTGAAAGCTTCAATCCCTTGCTTAAATTATTATATGAGTTATGATTGGTTGAATAGGCTAGGCTGAACGGGAAATAACTTATTTGTATAGTTTAACCCGCTGCAAATACAGATTTCGAACTTGACAATTTAATATGGTTTAATAGGTTATTGAGAAAGTTAGGATATTTCAACTCATATGTATAAATTATTGCATGGCAGGTGCTGTTGTTGAAAATCCTGGCCCGGATAATTGTGAAATAATGGGAGGTGAGAACAAATATTTTTGGGTTAATTTTAGTGGATATAAAATACCTAAGCTATATTGAGCAGCAATATCGATAAACAAAAAAATCGTGTTTTGAAAGCTCTGTAGAACAATGAAAATACGGTACTGTAAAATGTCACTTCAGACGTACAGGAAAGTAATTGCTGGCTAACGGGGGAAAAGCGCGCCATATGACTGAGACTAATTAGCCATTCGAATTACTAATATGCACTAACATATTGATTGATGTTTTATTCCGACCCTTAGATTACTATGTCAGCCATTAATTTCAATTCGGCAGTTTGGTGAGTTTTCAGTTCTTGAAAAATTTGAAAAAATTTCATGATTGAAGTAATGATGTGTTTTTTGCATTTAGTGTTACAAAACATACAACAACAATTGGATGCGTTAACCACAACTGTTGCTAACATTCAGCGTGGTAAGTCGATCTCATATTCATAAATTAAAGCTGCGATTTTTTGATATACTACGCTTCGTACTACTTGTAAAATTGTTGTAAAACTAGGTTTCAATACAAAACTTAAAATTGCATTTTCAGCATTTCTCTCTCTAATACTGTACAATCATGGTGTGCAATATCGCTTCTAGTCAAATTACAGCCAAGGTGGTATATGACAAAATATACCGTGATAACCAGTAATTGCGTGGGCAACTCTGATACGTGAAGAAGCACTCCACCAGTTTTTTGCAGATAATCTCACCTATTGGTTTCGAACTCACCAACCGCGGTACCAATAATCTTACCTCCTGTTTTTTTCAGATGCTGTACTTGCAAGGCAACCAGCTATAGGGCTACCTCCTCCTGGTCCATTAGCTATTGCTAGGCCTTCATTACCATTATCTGGAGATCAGTCACAACAATTTCCGGGAGATGAAGAGTGGGCCATATTATTACCACTAGCAGAGCAATCAGCAATTGGACCACCACCAGTTGGAAATCGTCCTTCCAGCGCATCAGCATCCGGTGGTTTGAGTATACAACCATCGCAGGCACGGGATCCTATTTCTGTAAATCGTCTTGCAAACGCATCAGCTTCCGGTGGTGTGTGTATACAGGCACCGCAGGCAGGAGCTTCTATTTCTGGAAATCTTCCTGCATTGTCAAATAGTTGTAATGTTGATCCGTTTGTTGAACAGTCTCAAGAAGTCCAACGACCTTCTGGCATCTCTCCGTTAATTAGTTCTGTACGATCTGCCGCACACCGTAGATTCAATCGCGATCGATGTAATCCTTTTAACAGGTGGACACGAAACGGACGTACGGGATTAAATATTATTGTTGTTCTTCAGTGAAAAATAGCCTTCCCTCTCAACTAATGTGTTATAAAATTTATTTTAGTATTATTGTGGTGTCTTTCCAGAATAATTAAAATAGAATTGGTCTCCTAGGCTCTTTAAGTTTTTCCGTGCCGTGTGGCCTATAATTCCTTCGTGTCCTTGTTATAATTTCGTATCACCTCAGTCGTTTTGTCTATCTATCAGTTTGAATGTAGCCTTTAATCGGCTAGATCAATCTGGAAATTTTCACGTGGGTTATCCTGCCACCCTAATAACGTGAGTTTCATAGAAAGTCCGAATTGAAGTTTCGTTTCCATGGCAACAACAAAACAACCGCCGATTGTTAAAAATGTTCTTCTTTCTCATAAATTTTCGCCATTTCCTCGTCAACCAATGTGAGTATAAAACTTCCGAGAATGCTGTACTCCGTGGAAGAAGTTACTATTACAAACAAGACGTCATTCATCTCGATAGTTCATAAACTGAAGCCTTTGGAATTTTAGTGTTTTAATTAATATCCGAAGCATAATTTCGCACAGCATTCAAAATGAACTGGTTTAGTTTCAGTATAATGGCGTCCATTACCCGTTAGCAAGATTTCCCAAACTTATTGGGCTGCGGACCCTTGTTTGTGAATCTTATTTTTGAAGGGCTATCCTATGTCGTATCAATTTCTGTGCCTAACCAACGAGGAAGAATGATTTTTCCTTTGACGAAATAAAACTCATGAAATTCTGAACCAATACATACTACTGTCGAATAATGCCAGATGATTTATTCGTATATGTTTTAGACTCTTTTCATATCGTTGCAGACCCCCGTTTGGGAAACCTTGCGTTAGTGTACCTGAATTGACGCGACTTCAAAGTAATGGCGAAGATCTATACTGGGCGTCTGTCGGCTTGTCAGTCTGTCTGGTTGGCCTGCTGTAGCGTCCAAACGGCTGGACAGATTTAGATCCAAAAAATATCACATGGGTGATTCTGTCACCCTAGTATGCATTTCACCCATTGATGTTTCGTTCCTTGGTCAGACTTTATCGGACACATACGTGTTAGTGTCAATTTTATTTTCAATTTTTCATGCTTTCTCAAATACAATCTCTATGAATTTTTCTGAATTTATATCGATATGCGAGTTTTGAAAAATTCGACATGTATTCGACATCCAAAATATCCAAAAAATGTATTTTAGAATGTATTTGAAATGTCATATAAATCGGTTTGAAATAATACTTGAGTTCTTCCCCTCGGGCGTTAAGCGGTGTGTGCAGAACTAATAAAGAGAATAAACGATACCTGAATATTCTTGTCAAAACCTGTATTTTATAGCATGTATTTGTATTTCTTTGTAAAATAATATTTAAATTTATCGACGCTTCAGAATTGTGTGTACCAATATGAAGGTAACTAATTTTGTTCGCCTACTTCACATCAAGTTGTATATAAGGACTAAAACCTATGGGCAAGGGGTATGTATATTCACTTGGATAGCACAGACAGTCCCCGAACTCGTAATAGAACTAAAATAGGGAAATTTGAAAAAATATTATGGCCTAACCCTAACCTGGGATATATACTACGGAAGTAACACTTATTGTGTTATGTTTCCATCCTTACAATAATAAATATCCTCAGTATACATTTATCTCTTTTTTTAATTGCTCTACCAACATTTTGGGACGTCTATTACTACTAAGGTAAACTCAAGCTTGTATTAGAGAAAGAAGAAACGCAAAAACTAGACATGCAACTATAATTTAACTAGCCATGTAAAT